AGCATAGCCACTCAGTATTTGACCAACAGAGCAGAACATGACAGGATAGCCAGACAGTGGACCAAGAGATACGCAACATAATTCTCATAATTTGTATGCAGTGTGAAGGAGCAGAAGGCCTCTTCCCACTGTGCTGCGGATCTTTATAGCCTTTACAATACGGACTTCTGTGTATATGTTATACTGATTCTACTCTCTGCCTTTATCCTTTGGAGACTGGGAGACTCCCCCAAAAGGTAAATGCTATAAAGAGTAGAACTTCGTAGCTGTAGATTAGTTACGTTTAAAATGCCTACTTGCAAGTCTTGCTTCTTTGGGATATCAAAATGTATTTTGTGATGTACTAAGGATACTGGTCCTGAAGTCTACCAAATATTATAGTGCATTTTAGCCTAATTCATTATCTGTATGAAGTTATAAAAGTAGCTGTAGATGACTAGGAATTATGTCATTTGTATTAAGCCCAGATCTATTTCTGAGTATGTGGTTCATGCTGTTGTGAAAATGTTTTACCTTTTACCTTTGTCAGTTTGTAATGAGAGGATTTCCTTTTACCCTTTGTAGCTCAGAGAGCACTGATGTATCATCTCAAACACAATAAACATGCTCCTGAAGGCATAGTTTCTTGTCGTAATGTTGAAAGTCTTGTCAGAAGGTGTGTCTGAGATGATTGTTGATGAAATAAAGATGTGGATATGAAGATGGATTATTAAGGACTAGTACAAATGAATGAATTATTAAATTGAAAACATTTAAAAATCTAAGTGTGTAGAGTTTTTTCCTTTAAGGAGAGAATATAGTGGCTTAAATGTGAAGCTGGATTTAAACCATTGGCCTTTAAAAAAGAAAAAAAAAAACATGAATTCTACATTGATGATGTAGTATTTGAGTTGAAAATGAAGTCCTGGGTTATTCAGGACTCTATCCATGTCTTACATAATATTTTGTTTCCAAATTGGTGATGTCTATTCAAAGTTGGGCAATATTGTCAGATAATTGTTGCTATTCTGTGATTTCTTTTCTATGGTGCTTTTCCCTTTAATCCTGATCTTGAATTTTTATGGTGCATTATTGTTACTGTGATACATGGCCAGCAAGTGTAGCCAGAGGCTCAAAGGCCCTCTTTTTCCTGAAGATAGAAGGTGTGTTAGTGTGCAGATGTGGCACTCTCAGTTGAAGACATACTAAATTGTACGGATTTAGAGGTTAAATTACTTCTAACTGTAATTATTAAGTATACTATTTAGCTTGTAATTATTAAGCTTTCTTAAGAGAATTGTAAACAATATAACTGTACTATTTTTTCCCCCTGTGCCTGGAATAAATTATCTGTGGTGAGTGTCTTTTCCGGTTCTAAATATGGTAATACAGTAATATAAAATTTATGGAAATTTATTATTAGGATCAGAGCTAGTATTGCTTTGGGCTGGGGAATGGTAGCTCAGTGGTAGAGGCTGCCTTGGCATCCTCAGCACCACACACACACACACACACACACACACACACACACACCAGTACCCTTTTATAGAGGAACGATGAACAACATGTTAATGTTTTGAAGATTTAAGCTTTATCTTGGGAAACTTCTGATTTTTATTTTAAACAGAAATTAAAAAATCCACAGTTAAGTCGATGTGATGAGTGGAGGCTTTGTATGAAAGTCAAAACAATTTTAATTAGCCATGGTAAGCTGTAGAAAGGACTTCATCCCACTGCTGAACTTGGTCATTCTGTACCCGAGGGTAATGAGTTTCTCTTGGTGCTAGAGAGCTTTCGTTCTGCATATTGCTGTGGTGTTGCATTGCTGTTCCTACTGTAACTTGTAAATGTCTGAGAGTGACCGAGCCACCATGTATCCATCCCATCAGACCCTCTGAGGAGCTGCGCAATGCACAAAGCAGTGTCCGATATGCATACCTGCTATAAGTTGCCTGTAAAAGAATTCTTCATCGATTAATTACAACTTCTGAAATTCGATAAAGAATTGTTTGAGTAGATCCTTAATCTATTTTAGTTTCAGACTTATTTCTAATGAATATGAAGTAGCTTGTTAATATTTGTCACGGGAACACTTAAAATAGTTTTCCTTGTTTAAAAACTTGACAATGTTTTTTTCATTCAAGTAATACTAAAAACCATCTTACATAACCACATCAAAAAGCTTGTATTGATAAGCATATCAAGTATGGTATTTTAATTATCTGGACACGGCCTTTTCTTTTGAACTAGGAAATCTTAACTAATTGGGATAAAAATTTGTAATTTGACCCATGCTACCTTTTCTCAGAAGAACTTTTTTGAGTTTTGCTCTGATTTGTAAAGAACTTGAGTCAGTCCACTGGTATTCGATGGTGTTCAAGTAATAGAAGAACAACAAGTATGTGGCAGTTGCAGTTCTGAAACTTCAGTTATCATGTTAATGCATGTCATTAACACACTGTTAGTTACAGTTTATATGGTGCATTTAGATGGATCATTTAAGTATGAGCTGAAACATCAATTGCTTTTTGTTGAACTGCTTTAAGAAACTAATCCGACAATAATTGCATCATGGTTATATTTCAGTTAATGTTCCTTATTCAGAGTAAGTAAATGTACAAGCATCTTTGTTTATTTCTAGTTACATTAGTTCTTTCAAGCAATACCCCAGTGAAAATAATTACATTTTAATACATATACATTATTTAAGTCAAATCTCACTCCAAAAAAAGGCTCAGTTTTTCCTTAGGAAGATCTTCGGTGTTTTAAAGAGTGTTTGTCTCCAGTGTACAATGGAACATTTACACACGGTGGACTGTTAGTGCTTTCAGCATGGTTATAGACTATATTGCCAAGTGGTTTCTGTAACTGCTTTACCAATGGTGTTAAAGCCTTGCTCGCTGTCAGACATCGTCCACCTTGTTAACCTAGAACTGAGGCAAGACTAGATCACCTCACAGGCTTATGCATTTGTGCTTCTGCTCTTGCTGCTTCCTTTCCGTTCCTTCCTGACTGTTGAACTCACAAGCAGCTCTCTGTAGGGAATGCCCTGGAACCAGAGTCTTCCAGTTTGTCACCTGCTGGGCTTGCAACTGCTTGTGTTTGGACTAGAAGACCAGAGTGAATTTTAAGTAAGAACTTTCAGTGTCAACATCCCTAAATACTAAGAAGCTAAACTTCATGTGTTGGGGGGGTGGAGTTTAAAGAGCATATGATGCAAATTTGGGAACAAGGGTAGGTACAGACATCCTTTGGTCTTTGTCATTAAATGTAGATTAGGCAGCAGAGCGCCAGAGCTTAGTCCTAGATGTGGCCTAAGATAGAACGGAGAATAACATAAATAGCTTGGCATGGAGACATGGCGATTACCTCATTCATGAAGGTCTGTCTCATGCAATTCACTGAAAGATTTCCTCCCTCAAATCCCCTCAGTTTCTTTCAGGTCTACCCCTTTGAATATTTCTGTCACATTGCTCTCATTTACCTGTTAGTTTATCAGTCTGTTTTTCTGAGATACCATCTACACAAGCATCACAAAGAATCAAGTATGTATTTATTTTCCATTATCAGCAACAAGCCAGGTGCCATCCCTAAAAGTCAAGAACTTCTTTTTATCTTTTTCTTTTTGGTGGTCAGGTAGTGGTTAGAAGATGCATATACTGCATAACCCATTAACTGATTTACGTTAAGAGTTTGTTCTTCAGAGTTTAAGTGCTTGATAATTGATTGGTTTATTTAGAGAGTATGAAACATAAAGAGATGAATACATTTTCACATCCTTATTATCACTTTCCTGTCCAGATAGATTTTTTTCTCCCTAGCAAAAGAAAAACATGTCTTTGTTAAAAAATGTATTCGTTTTCTGCTGAATGAGAGGTTGAGCAGATGTCTCTGCTGATATAACAATAAAAACGTTGGTATAATGTTTAGCAAACATATTCGATCTATATAATGTTCAATAAACTTCATACTAACTGACATTTTAAAAACACTCTTGGTCTAGCAAAATGGCTCAGCAGATCCAAGTACTTGCCATGCAAACATAACCGCCCGAGTCGGCCCCGAAAACACACTCAAGGTGGAAAGAGAAAACCTCCTCTTAGACATTGTACATACACACAAAATGAGGAAGAACAGTCTTTAAAATAACTCTTCATATTCACTGTCTGTGACTTGTGTTTTGGCATTTTACTTCGTTCAGTTTAATACCACGTCTGTATGTTTGGCTAGTGAGCCCTGGGAAGACATCATATATCCTCTTCCTCTGTCTCAATACCTGGTCTCTAACGTAGCTGCTAGCTGGATGATTATTTTATCATCATGGAGGTAAATCTTCAGCTTAAGGCTGTCCCACACCACATGGCATTTGTCTGTATAACAGATCATGTCTTTAAATCCTCAATACAGTGATTGCAGTGCTTTGTACATGGTAATTGCTGCTTTGGTTATTCCTGTTAAAATGTGCCAAGTAATAACACTTTTTTCAGTGTCTTAGAATGAAGAATGAATTAATCTTAAAATTTTAAAAGTTCATCAATATACCAGATATCATTCTTAATTATAATTGTACACAGTTTCCCATTATCATTGGTATTTTCTTAGCCCCCTTTTATTCATAAAAAGAAAAAAGACCACAAAGAAGCATATGTAGACTTGTGTCCCGTGTGCCAGCATTTTGACAAGTGGATTTTACAAATGGTGTTTCTTGGGTTATATGTAGCCTAGTTGAAATGTACTCTGTTTTTACAATGATGAAGGGCTATCCTCGTATTTCTCAGAGTATATTCCCGTTGTTAAGATATTCATGACTGTGTCCCAGTATTTTAGGAAAGAAGGGAAATGAGGTCTTTGAGGGTATTATTTTAACAAAAAATACTTTGAGGAAAAAAGAACTATGTAGAAGTATATAATATGCTGTATACTGCTATGTAGTAGAGAGCTGCCCTTGAATGTTGAAAGTAATTACTGAGATTTCCTATTTACAGGGTCTATGAAAAGGGGAAATATAATAACATAAAGATCAAAAAGCTGCCTTTTACTCTGTTGCTCAATAATTGTTCTAATAAGTCTAATTGGAAAGTGACTTTCTAATTCCAGTTATC